GTCATATTTCCCTATATATACAGCAAGGAGCACTGATGATGATTCATTCGGAATCGAAATATGGCCTTATTTGCAGCATGAATTCGAAAAATAAGTTTATTTTGAATTTTAATAAACTAAACGTTTACCAAAAAACTTTAGTGAGAAAAATCGAAAAAACGAACTACAAACATATTAACGCCAAACATTCGGTAGAATTTATAGAATATTGTAAAAATATATATATATATACATACATACATATTTACATATATATATATATATATATATATATATATATATATATATATATATATATATGTATGTATGTGAATGATTTAAAGGGGTCCAATTGAATTTTTAAGCCTTTTGATATCCGTGACCAACTTGGATATCTCGTTAGCTCTGGAAAAATTTACAACATAAATTAATTATAGTTAAAAACAACAACAATAATAATAATAATGATGATGATGATGATAATGACAACAGCAATAATAATAACAATAATAATAATAAACAGCCGATCCAAAAATACTAACTCCTTCAACAGCATCGATCTAATTATAACTTCCTTATCACTACTAATAAGTGATGATGTTGTTGATGATAACGATGTAGGTCTTGATGACGATGATGATGATGTCTTCAGAGGAGAGTGTGGAGGCGAAGAAAAAAACGATGACGATGATACGAATGATGATGATGCGAATGATGATGATGGAGACGATTCTGGTAAAGTCATTAGCTTTTTGTTGTGTTCAAATTGTCTCTCAACCTGTAAAAGTTGCAGTATTAGTAGTAGTAGTAGTAGTAGTAGTAGTAGTAGTAGTAGTAGTGGTAGTAGTAGTAGTAGTAACAGCAGTATGTTCAAATTCTCTCAACCTGTAAAGTTGCAGTAGTAGTAGCAGTAGTAGTAGGAGCAGCAGCAGCATCAACAACAGCAGTAGAGCAAAATAATAATAATAACCATAGTAACGTTAAACTCCTGCTTCTTAACTCTCTCCTGGAGGCTCTTCAACTTCTTAAACATGGCTTTTTCGGCTATCGAGAGCTCAGGCAGGTCGGATTCGATGTGGTATGATAAACCTTTCAGCCTGTTAATTAACATAATTTATTCATTTTCTTTTCGTATATTTCATAGTGCTAACTTATTAGTAATTAGTAACGGTAGAGTAGTTTTAAGAGTGATTGATCAATTGCAATGAAGAAAAAACACCAAACAAACAACATTTAAAAAAAACCTTTCGTTAAGTTCACTTTTGCACCCTGTAATTCTTTTCAACTTCTTCTCTAGATCACTTCTTCTCTCTTTAATGACGATGAAATTCTCCAACAGTTCTCTGACCTCCATCTTCTGCCTGTATTCCGCTTTGTCTAATTTCGCGACACTACACGAATTTTGTGACATTAATTATTAATTAATTTATTAATTATTATTATATTACTCTGTAATTATTGTTATAATTTTTATATAATATATTAAACATGAATTATTATTAAAATAATATAATATATAGAATATAAAATTAATAATAAAAATAATACTAAGAGTAACAGCGAATAATAAAAACTGACTGTTTCTCTATCTCATTCTTAGCCTGGTTAATCTTCTGTATGTACTCCTCTCTTAGGATCTGGGTAGTCCTAGCCAGGATTTTGAAACAATCCTGTGCATTTGTCGTCGTACTCAGAGAACATCTAACAAAATAAAGGTTAAAAAAGGTCAAAGGTCAATTACACTCTTCCGAAGTTCAGAGGATTCAACAAAACGCACAGACATGATAACAACGAAATAACAGGCAAACACTGAGAAACAAATTTTTCTATGGATTTGTCTGGTTTTGTTTGAGCGGTCATTTGTTTGTCTATCTATCTATCTATCTATCTATCTATCTATCTATCTATCTATCTATCTATCTATCTATCTATCTATCTATCTATCTATCTGTTTGTTTGTCTGTTTGCTTAACTGTCCTTCCCTTTGCTTTTCTGTCTGTTCATATCAATTTGTCCGTCTGTCAATTTGTCTCTCTGATCGAATATGTGTTTATCTATCTAGTTTTCTAAATCATATTGTACATATTTTTACGAACATTTTACATTATTACTATTTTCTTATAGCGTTTTTCTCGCATGATAGATGTAATACCACGTAATTATATGATGCTGTATTTTATTCCGGGCGATAATTCCACAAAATTGTAAATAACAACAACCTGAAATAAGGATTGGAGGTATTTTTGTTGAGGATTTTTTGAATTCTGTCATAGAAGTCTTCCTTATAAGCAGCAGCAGCAATAGCAGGGTGCCTCAGGTTACCTGCACTATCTTCAACAGTCAGTGGGTAGGTCGGTGTTTTGTAACATTGTCTGAGAAAATTAAGAAAAATTATTATTCATAATAACCATGTTAATAATAATAATAATAATAATAATAACGACGTTAATAATAAATAAAATAACGAACAGCATTGGCAGGATGGTGATATTGTAGTCTGAGGTCAGACATATGACCTTTGAACCAAGGAAAGTGTCGTGGATTTGTGTGTAGCCCATAACTGTTACGAGGGGGCTGTTATTGGTTGATCAATCAAGCCACCATCAATCGATCAATCAACCAATCAATCAACCAATCAATCAAACAATCAATCACAATCAATCAACCAGCCAGCCAGTCAACCAGTCAGTACAGTAATTGTACAACGTAGAAAAATAAAATCGTACGTTCGATAAATTCTAGTTAAACAACCAAACAATTGATTGTTTGATTGATTGATAGAAACATTGATTGAATGATATTTGGTAGATTGACTGATTGATAGATTTACAGGTTGGTCAGCTGATTGAATGCTCAACACCAACCATGACTTAAGTGGCTTCGTGCAGATGAGATGTTCTACAATTGACTGGTCGTCAATCTTCAGTGGCAGACAACCGCCGTCATCAGTAGCAGCAGTAGCAGCAGCATCGTCATTGTCATCATCCTTCTTTGTATTTTCATCTATGAAGATGATGAAAATTATCTTTATCATCATATCATTGTTATCGTTAACATTCTTATCTACATTTTGAATATAGACATTGAGAGACACATATGACAGACAGACAGATAAACAGACAGACGAACAGAAAAACAAACAAACGAATGAACGAACGAACGAACGAACCACTGGAGAAATACGCTCCCAGCTTCTGTAACCATGGCAACATGATGGAATGCAGCCCGGTAACGTGACAGCAGTGGTACCTCTCTCTGACTGAAGTGTCTGAATATTGTAAATAACAACAACAATAATACAACAACAACAACAACAACACACGTTTAGACGGCATTTTCCCCGAGATCGGGGGTTGCCGTTTGGCTACCTATGATGAAACCGAAATACCCCTCGACTCCATCCACATCTGTCACTCGCCTCAGTATCACGCAACCCCGCTTTCACCCTGTCCTTCTCCACCTGCTCTCTCCATCCCAATCGCGGACGACCCCTTCCTACCACTCCTTCAACCTCGAACTCCAACGCTCGCCTAATCCCGACCCTTTCATCCCTTCTCAACACATGTCCATACCACCGCAATCTCGATCTCCTTATCAATGTCACAATGTCCTCATTCAGTCCCATCATTGACATCAGCTCTGTACTACTCCTCCTATCCTTCACTTTAACCCCACACATCATCCTCACCATAGCTCTTTCAGCCCTCTGCAGTACACTTTCCTCCTCTCTCCTCAACACCCAAGTTTCACCACCATATATCATCGCTGCTCTCACACATGCTTTATATACCCTCCCTTTCATCTTCACTGACCATTTCTTTCCACACAATACCCCACCCAGTTCCCTAAATTTCATCCATCCCACACGAACTCTAGCCGTAACTGCGCTCAAACATCCTCCATCCGCTTCAGCTTATCCCCTAAGTAAACAAAGCTTTCCACTCTTTCAATACCATCACTCAACCCCGTCCTTGCGTCCGTCCTATTAATCACACCATGAACACATTTCTTACATTTGAACGTGCCTTCCACCTTTTTCAGTGTCCCCCTCACACCACTACATCTCTTATGCACCCATTTCTGACATCCTATACACAATACCGAGTTAGCCTTCACTCTCCTATCACATACCCCACAGGGGTCTATTTTACTTATCACTCGTTCCCCACCTTCCCCACTCACCATTACCTTCGTCTTACCAATATTAACTTTTAACCCTTTCTTTTCAATAACACTTTTCCATCTGTCAAATTTTAACTGCAATTCTTCCATGCTATCAGCCATCAAGACTAAATCATCTGCATACAAAATCTCAAATAACAACCCCTCCATTATGTTTCCACACACAACATCCATCACAATTGCAACAACAATAATAATAATTATAATAATAATATAATAATAATAATAATAACAACAATAACAATGATGATGATGATGGAATGACAGACAGACAACAAACAAAACAAAAACAAACATGCACAAACCCTTGTAGAGCATTATGGGCAGATTATAAAGGTCGGGGACACTCTCATCACAAACACCATCATCATCGCCATTGAAATCGCCATCACCATTACGATGATTGAGTTTGCTGTCGGAATTTGGGTCTTCAGTTGCACTCTGTATAGAAGGCGTTGATAGCTGCAGCTCCAGTTCAATTGTCTCAAAAACGTACAGAGATTTTGTGCTGCTATCTTCTGTCTTAACTTTGGCCGGGGAATTCTGAAAATTTTTGGTTTAGTTTCTCTCATTGCTAATTTTTACTTTCTAAATGTTTGCTGGAATCATTTTCTCTTCTGTCTATTTTTAATACAAATTTTGATCGCTCAAGAAGGACTGGTCTAGTTTAATGGTGGCAACGCCCACCAAAACATAGTTCCCCTAACTCACGTGTTTGGCTCGTAGAAATGATCTGACATTAGAAATAATTTGTCAAATTGAATCACGGTTTTAAATAAATATAAGAAAAAATTTATTGATCAAAAAAAAACCACACCAACCTTTCCATTAGCCTTATAACTCCCACGACGAATAATACTATCATCACCACCACCAACGTCACAACCATCACCATCATCATCATCGTCATCATCACTGGACCCCAGAAGAATACAGTGATGTAACTTTCCATCGCAGGTGGCGACGACGAGGACTGGCGGGTCGGAGTTGATGTGGATGATGCTACAGGCGTCGCATCCGTAGTTGTCGTCTGCCGCGGGGTACATTCGCAAGGGGCCTACCAGGGTGTGCTTGAATTTTCTGTTGGGACGGAGGAAAGGAAGGGTTTGATAAGTTCACCCCCAATAAATAAACTTTAGGGTCAATAAATTTATCCTGGTCTCAGTGTAATAAATTTATTCAGATCTCAGTATTATATATTGCAATTACGAATTCGTCCTAATCTGTTAAAAGTGAATTTAACTTTCAATCAACGAGTTTATAGTTTATTAATGTATATTATCTCTCTAATGCTTATTATCAAAGGTTAAAGATAAGTTTAAAGTTATTTTAAAAAAATTTTAATTTGGACACGAATTATTTATTTCTATACAATCTGAATGGCTATCATCAAATTATAAATAAATAAACAAAATAAACAAACAAATAAATCAATAAAGAAATGATAATTTAATTAAAACAATAATAATAATAATGATAACTGTACAGCAATAACAATAATAATAATAATAATAAATCAATAAAAAAAACCGGATACTAACAAATGGCTATAAACCAGAATGCATAGACAGACCTGTCCATTTCCCATCAAGAGGTAAATATTCCAGGCTCCTCCCACGCCATCGTCATCATCATCATCATCCTGGCAATTGTCATCATAATCATCTCCGAGATCATTATCATAACCGAGGATATTATTTTTCTTGTTTTTCAACAAACTGCCTACCACACTTTTGTTTGGATCCGATGATTTCACTAGAGAATTATTCAAACCATTTGTAGTTTTTGGTTTTTTCTGCCGCATAGCACCGGCCAAATCTTCGGTACCAAAGTCAAAAGCCACGAATGATTCTCCTAGAACATTTTTCGACGAGATGACAACATCGTCGGCCATGATTGTGTTCAGGTTTATAGTGCCAACTGGCTGGCTGGCATGCTCCGAAGTGTAAATTCTAAAAAGAGAGAGAGAGAGAGAGGGAAAGAAAGAGAGAGAGAGAGAGAGAAGAAATGATGAGTGGAAAAATAAGAGAAAAAAAATAGAAATATGTAGCAAGGCAGAAAAAGAGAATAAAAAAAAAGACAAAAAATGGCAAACATGATAGCGAAATTAATAGTTGATTGACCGATCGACTAATGGATAGACCACTTGGTTGATTAATATACTAATTAATTGATCAACTGACTGATTGACAGAAAAAAGACCTACCTGAAACTATTATCGGAAGTTAGGACAAACAAAACGTTGGGTGACTTAAACCCAGGATGCCAGGCTGCGGACAAGAGCTTGTGTAGGGTCATGGTAAAAAAAATTTCATCAACTGTCACACACCTATGTAGGTTTATATGTATGAATGAAATTAAAAAAATTAAAATTTGAATAAAATGAAACAACCAATAAAAAACATACTTAAATTATAAATGAAACAACCAATAAAAAACATAATTAAATTATAAATTAATTATTAAAAAATATATAATTTTAATAAAAATATAATATTAATTAAAAAATACAAAAAAAAATTTTTTATAACAGACTGGCAACAGATAGACTTTGATCCATCTTTATATAGGCCATTTTTCCCTCTTGTTTTTGGCAGAGTTGCAATCTGGAGACCAGCCTCCCCGTACAAAGCCAGCTGACTTTCATAAGGGCTCAACAAAATTCTTTCAATTACAAACTTTGGCACGTTCAACCACACCAACTCCTAGATATTATCAATTCCTACTTTAGAAACATCTTAATTAGGTCTATTTTATTATGAATCCAATCATTAATTTTATTATATAATTATTATTGATAGAAAAAAGTTATAATATAAATATAAAAAAAGTAAGAAGATATAATATTAATATTATATCTTCTTATAATATTATAAGTAATAAAGTTATATTTCTTAAAATTGCAAGACTAGTATAGTAAACAGTAAACTAAAATTTAATGATTAAATTTAATCTTTTTTTCAATATAATGATATAAAAAGATGGAATATCTAATATGAAATATGATAAACATAAAAAAGAATGATAAAGAAAAAGATATGTAGAAGAATTTAAAAAATTTAAATTAAAAGGTTAATAAGGTTCTTGCCTGAACAAAGTCATCTTCAGGTTTAACTAGGGCCGCTTTGATGTTGAAGGAGTAGAGGCACCAGGCCGTCTCGTCCCAGAACAAAATTTCGTCCCCTCGGTTATTGGCCAGCAGATTTTTAGGACCCGGACTTTTGTGATTAGAAGAGGAGAGATTTGCAAGCGAATCGTTTGCCAGTCGCGATCGTAAATTTGAAAAAATTTGGTGGTTTTGAAGTTTGGGGATCCAGGCGTTTGTGTTTTCCATTTTTAAAAGTAAATTCAAAAAATTTTGACGGGCTCAATTGATCTCTATAATAATTTTTGAAATCGGCGTAAGAACTTAATTGCACTTTTAAAACAAATGATGTGTGCGTTCATTTTATTTTAAAACACAACCCATTTCAACTCCACTACCTTTCGTCACTCTTTCAACGCAAATAACAAACACAGTTAGTGCAGAATAACACTAAACTAACAAGAAACAAATAGAACAGCAAAACTAAATACATCAAAAAAACGAACAAAAAATCTGGCTTGGAAAAGTTTACCTGTAGCTTGGCAATAAGAAGAAGAATATACAAACAACAATGCTTGCGTCCAAACATACATACATACAAACATACATTCATACAAACATTCAACATTCATACAGGAATACATACACAAACACATACAAAAAAACAAACACATACAGGCACTTATAAACATAAATATATTACAGAAATATACATAACTTCAAAGATATAGATACATAAATAGATACTTACACACACACACACACACACACACACACACACACACACACACACACACACACACATACATACATACATACATAAACACGAAATATACAAAACATTGTGTATCAACAGTCTGGAAACAATACCTTCATTCATGAATCATTTATTCATTCCATGCTACATACAATGCATGCTAAAATACGCTTCCATGAAAAACAATGTAATAAAATATATACATTGGATACGGTGTATAACATATATATAAGTGTATGTGTGTGTGTGTGTGTGTGTGTGTGTGTGTGTGTCTGTGTGTGTGTCGATTTGTGTCCGTGTGTGTATGTGCGTGCGTCGTGGTTTTGTTTCACTATGTGTAACGTTTTTTTAAACATGTTTAAAAATTGTGATGTAATGAATGAAAGAAAAGGAATGGAATAACAACTAAATGAATTAATGAATGAGTGAGTGAGTGAGTGAGCGAACGAATGAATGAATTAATGAATGAATGAAAAAATCTATGAATATATGATTGAGTGACTAACTAAATGTCTGGGCAAATAAATAAATGAGAGAGAGAGTGAGAGAGAAGGAGAGAGAGAGTGAGAGAGAGAGAGAGAGAGAGAGATGATCCAGTATTGTTTTAATGAATGAAGAAAGGGATGCATGAATGATTGAATAAGAGAACGAGAAAATAAGTGAAAGGGCTAACGATTGTACAAACACTGGATGAATGAATGAATGAATGAATGAATGAAAGAACGAACGAACGTAACAACGAACGAACGAACGAATGAACAAACGAACCAAACAACCAACCAACCGATGAACGAACGAACGAACAATTGAAAAAAAATTGGATGAATGAATGAACGAATAAGTGGATGAGTTTAAGCAGAGCAGACGATACGGTACCGTGACGAGCTGGATAGATGGAACATGTAATTGTTTGCACATACAAACGTTTATTCAACAACCGATTAATGCTGATGATGATGACGATGACGACGACGATGACGATGTTGTTGTTGTTATTGATGATGATGGAAACGATGATGATGATGATGATGATGATGATGATGACGATAATGATGATGATGATGATGATGATGATGATGATGATGATGATGATGATGGTGATGATGATGACGATAATGATGATGATGATGGGGTCTCGTGAAAATTGAATGAGAGACTGAGCTAGGAAAAAAATGAATGAATGATGAATGAATGCATGAACGAAAAAACGAACGAACAAACGAAAGAAAGACAAACGAATGAACGAATGAACGAACGAACGAAAGAATGAATGAGCATGTTATGACTAATCATAAATGCATTTTTTTCATGGAGCTTATATTACTATTCAAATTTCTGCAATGTTTACGTGTATGTATATATGTGTATGTGTGTGTGCGTGTGTGTGCGTGTGTGTACATGTGAGTGTGTGCGCATACACACACACAAACACACACGCACACATTCATTCAATAATCAGATCCAATAATCCGTCTAAATGAATAAATCAAGTTTAGTTTATAAATATCAATTAATATATACACAGACATGTAACATGTATTTTTTTCAAAATGATAATTTTTTAAAATAAAATGGTTTGCCTTATCATCTTAATGCATTTCTGACAATCTAAGTTTATTAAAAGAAAAAGAATCTTTCTTTTTAAAAAAAAACAACAATAAAAAATAATATTTTTGAAAAATAAAATAAATCGAAAGTTTTTCAGAAAAATTTTTAATGTTTGAAAAGAATAACTTTCCGGTTGAGTGCAGTTAACATAATAAAGCTTCTGCAACGATGATGCTTGCACGTTTGTATGTTTGTATACTTGTTTGTTTGTATGTATGCTTGTTTGTTTGTTTGTATGTTTGTTTGATTGATTGTTTGTTTGTATGTAAGTTATATGTTTGTTTGTTTGCATGTTTGTTTGATTGATTGTTTGTTTGTATGTAAGTTACATGTTTGTTTGTTTGCATGTTTGTTTGATTGTTTGTTTGTTTGTATGTTAATTATATATTTGTTTGTTTGTTTGATTGTTCGTTTGTTTGTATGTTTGTCTGCTTCTTCTTTGTCTATCGGATCAGCGGTACGCACTTGGGGACAAATCCAGTAGGCAATTGAATTGAATGTATGAAGAAACACAAACATTTGCGTACACACACGTACACACACGTACACACACGTACACACACGTACACACTCATACACACATACACACACGCACACATGAATACATAAATGTATATACACGGTGTCTGTGCGTCTGTGTATTCTTACTTGTACAAAAGGCGTATTAGGCGTATAATACTTACGGCCACTTTGAAAAATGGATCGATATTCATATTGAAGCTTGTGCAACATACACACGTACACAAACATACACGCATACACACACAGGCATACACACACATACACACACGCATACATACATGCACAAACACCCAAGTACACACAGACAGGTACACATGTTCACACATACATATACACACTCCCTCTCTTTAATTTAACACACACACACAAACAAACACACACACACACATTCATTCATACACACAAACACACACACAAGCACAAACACACACAGCGCAAACTAACTTGGTCTTTGTAAGACATGTATGAACTTGTTGAAAATGATGTATTTTTATTTTCTTAGTTTCCCGGTTGGAGGAAAAATTTGTAAGCGATCAATTTAACTGCAATAGTAGTGGTGCATCACATAACTCATTTATACAAACACACACACACAAACACACACACACAAACACACACACACAAACACACACACATACATAAATTGCATAAATTGTACACACACTAAAACAAACTTAATTCCCATAAACATACGCACATATGCGTGCACCATCCACACACACGCACACACAAACATACACACATACACACACACACACACGCATGTATAGATACACACATACACATACATACGCACATACAAACATACAAACAAACATACAATATGGACTTGGCAAGTCATCAATATTTGACGGGTACTAAATCCAATATATATGGCAATCAATAATAAATAATTTGGAAAATAAATAGATTAATTTATTCATTAATTAATAGATAATTGATTAATTAATTAACTATTTAGATAATTAATTAGTTAATTATGAATGAATTTAAAATTAAATAAAAAAATTATTTTAAGAAAAAAAATTTGCTGTGGTATATTAATTCTATATAACCATCAGAAACGTCATTAAATAATTATTATGCGAAGGAATTCGTTAGAGAGATGGTTATACTATCTTGGCTAATTAAACAATTTTGCAACAAACAAACAAACAAGCAAACAACAAACAACCCTAACCCAACAAAAAACAACAACAACAATAGCATCCACTCCACAACAACAACAACAACAACAACAACAATAGCATCCACTCCACAACAACAACAACAACAACAACAACAACAACAACAACAACAATAGCATCCATTCCACAACAACAACAACAACAACATCAATCAAACATCGGTCGGTTTCAAAACAAACAACACACATCAATAGACAACTACAATAACTAAAAAATGATGAATACACTAACCGAAAACGACAATTATCAACAAACACAAAACAATACAAACAAATAACAATAGCAAAAACAGAATAGACACATACACACGCACACGCATACACACGCACACTCACAGATCTACACGTACATACACACATACATACACAAATGAACACTTCAAAAGATCGATAAAAAACACATCAACTATTAAACACATCAACAGCAATGGCATCAAACGTCATCGTCATCATCGTCGTCGTCGTCATCATTATTGATGTATTCAAAAAACAGCAACAAACAAACAAACAACAAACATACAAACAGCAACAATACAAAACAAACAAACAAACATACAACGGTGCGCACACACAAACAAATAAACAACTCACAAACAACATACATACAAACAACAAAACATTACCAAACAACAACAACAACAAAACCATCGGCATTTCAACATTGTATTCAGCTTCATTCATACAAAAGGGATGGATGATGAGAAATTGCTAAACAATCAGCTAACACGCACGTACCTACCTATTCTAACCTAACCTGAAACATTACAAAAGGAAACATTACCAAACTAACTGTACAACATCACAAAATGTGTGTACTTAGGTATACAAATTTAACGATGTATATTTATATGTGCTACGTTTGTGACACAAAGACTGCACCATCCACACCACACAATACCACACTACACCACAGTACACCACACTACACTACACCACACCACACTACACTACACTACACTACACTACACCACACCACACCACACTACACCACACCACAGGTCACACCACACCACAGGTCACACGTACGCATTACGAAAGTAAACGCAAGCACCGCATCGTTACTCGCGCATGATGGTCTTGGAGCTTCGGACAGATGGCATTCGAACCATGCCATCGAGTAGCAGCATTACGAGAAGACATGGCGCTCCT